GAGAAAATACAGAGAATTTGGTAAGTTATTTTATTATTTGTAGTAATAGTTTTCAAATTTAATAAATCATTGTTTCTTGCCATTCTAGACGCCCTTGTCCAACAAAGTAGTCACTATAATGTTCTCTTATTTTGTGCGAATTTCTGGAATGATTTCCACTAAAACTGCTGAATGGTCTGAATGCTTCCTGTGGTATTTCTCGCCATAAACCTCTCCTTATTTCTCCTAATGAATATAGGAAGATGATGTAATTTTTAACCAATTGTGCAAAACACAACAGGCCTTTATAATTTTGTCCACAGTTTTTGGCAGTAAAGGAATAGGTTTTTCAAATATCCGAAATTTACTAACTAATACACCAAAAGTGTTTTCTATAGTTCTCCGAACTCTGCATAGTCGGTAGTTGAATTTTTTTTGTTTTTTTGATAAACTTGTTCGACGACTGTGTAGGCCAAATATTATCCGTCGGAAGGACGCGCGTCTTGGCGTGTCCTTCCGACGGAATTTAAAGGTCACCGCCGGCCCCCTCTCCCAGGCGGGTCTCTCGGCCGAGCGCTCGGTCGCCTGACGCGTGGGCGAAGTTAGTTGGGCACGGCCGTAGTGTCGATTAGACAGAATTTACTATCGAATATTTGGGTCTCGTTAAGACCGCTCCTTTGTGTTGTCTAATCTGGTTCGTTTTGCGTGACAAAGGGGCTTGTCTTATATAATTCTTGTTGAAATATTTTTGAGTGATTAACTTAACTTCGATTACCATTAATTTGCGTCGACGAGTTGCTTTTGCGGCATTTTAATATCGTACGAAGGAATTTTCCTTTGTCGTGTGGAACGCTAAAACTTTGTGACTCGAGAAGAGATCGCGTTCGTGCTCGTGGTTATAATTTGTGCTAAGTGAACCTGGGACATTGAACTTTGACCGACCGTTCTTTAGTTGTGCAGCGTGTCACTTGTTTTAATTTCGATTAACGTTGATTTGGTTGAATTTGAAGTTAATTAAATGTACAATAAAGTCGATAAACTAATATAGTGAAATAAAAGCAGAAGGTTTCAATTGGTGAACGCCTACTGGAGGGATCGCACATTTTGGAGGAAAGCGGCGCCTGTGGGTCTGCTCCCAGAATACGTCGGTGACGTCAGGTTACATCTACACACTATCACACACTACTTACATACACCTCACTTACCACCTGACTTCGCCTTGTGGTCGACACTACCTCCGGAACTCGGTAACTTTGTGCTTGCTTATCAGCTATTATTTAATTATCCATAGGCCATTTGGGCCCGAACCCTCTGTTGCTCGTCGAGTGTATTACTGATGGACCCTAATACAGTCGACTTCTGTCTGGGCAATTGAGGGCCGTAACAACGACTATAAGGTCATAAGATATTCGGTCAAAGGGAATGCTTGGTCTCCCAAAAAAAACCATTCCTTCAGGACTTCAAAGTCTTTTCTTCCAAGGTTTTTTTAAAATTTGATCTAGCAAATATTCCTCCATCGGAAGCTCGGCCATAGTGACCCACATTGATACACCTAAACTTTAAATCACTGTCACATAATGCTAGGAGGACAATACTGAATGTTCCCTTGTAATTATAATAATCACTTCCCCAGTGCATGGGACAACGTATTTGAGAACGTGTTTGCCATCTATAGCGCCACCACACAGTGGAAAATTATATTTTTCATGAAATCCATCAATTATATCTCTCCAACTTTCTTCATTGTCTGGAACCTGTAAAAGAAAATGAGTAGTTCAATATATTGTTTCAGACACCAAACATTGCACCCAACACTCAAGAAGCTTCAGTTTCTGAATCCAACGATGAAGAGTTCACTGTACCACATACAACTTCAAGAAATAAAAGGAAATTAAAAGATCCGCTTCTTAGAGCAGTTGATGCATTAGAAAAAATTTCAACGCAGCAGTTTTCAAATAACTCAGGTGATGATGAATTTGACCTTTTCGGACGCACTATAGCTCAGCAGTTACGGCAGCTTCCATTAGAAGCTGCCCTAGAGACCGAAGAAGTAATATTGGCTACTATAAGACAGCAACGTGTAAAGCTATTAAAACAGACATCGTTATCACAAAAAGGTACATCATCATCAATGTCAGAGTGTATGGAGTCTAACAGAACTATTACCATTACTATACCAGGGAATCAGCAAGTCGCACAATCCTCATCAGAATCGGAGTCAATTCCTGCTACTAGTGCTGCTACGAATAATGATGCACAAGACGAGTATTACACATACAATGAGGACATACTTTCGCAAGCTGTTGCAAGCATATCAGGTTCTCATTTGGATAGAGAATTAAATTTTGACAATTATTAATATGCATATCATAATGCCTAGATTGTTAATTACACCAAATAAAAATTATTTTCTTACCTGAATGTAGTGTTTTAATTTTTCATATACACTCAGCGTCACAAAAATCGCACCTCTCTGAGTTTGTGCGAAAAATGGCTGTAATGGCTAGAAACGAATTATATTTATATAAATATTGGTATGTTTGGAATGGGTATTTGAAACGCTTTACATTATTAATAAAAAAATCATGAAATCATTAAAACATTTATCATTATAGAGCGTCAAAAATAAACACTGTCAAATGCTCGTTAGTAAGGACGCTAGTTACACCACCTAAAAAGGGTATAAAAGGGTCAATCTGGATGAAATATGGGTCAGTCGTAATTTAGACTTTGCAGTGAACACACGTGAACAAGTAACCCAAGTAAAAACAAGTAAAGATGGACACCAGCTCTGAAGAAGCCGCTCAAGTGATTGCCCTATTTCAGTCGGGGATGCGGCAGTGTGACGTTGCTCGACAGTTGAACCTGTTCCGTTTTTCAGTTCGACGGGTGTTCCAACGTTTTCAGCAGACTGGTGGTTATGTTAGAAAACCGGGATCTGGAAGAAAACGGTGCACATCAGAAAGAGATGACCGTTTCATCGTTACGACATCTTTACGAAACCGTTTTACAAATGCTGTTGAGTTGCAACAACAGCTTCGATCAACTCGGAGAACATCTGTGAGTGTTTCTACGATAAGAAGAAGGTTACACGAAAAGAGTTTAACAGCCCATAGACCTGCTAAAGGTCCAAAACTTACTGCACAGCATCGCAGAGATCGCCTAGAGTTTGCTCGCAATCATTGCGAGTGGACTCTAGAACAGTGGCGGACCGTACTCTTCTCTGATGAGACGAGGGTCTGTCTCTTCTGCAATGACAGACGTAGAAGGGTCTACAGAAGACAGGGGGAGAGGTTCACACAACCCTGCTTCGAAGAATCCGTCGAATACGGGGGTGGCTCGTGTATGTTTTGGGGCGGCATTTCCGTCGACGGGAAAACGGAACTTGTGTGCGTTTCCCGGACTCGGGGTGGCCGTGGGCAAGGGTCATTAAATGCTGGTCGGTACATTACTGAAATCCTGGAGGAACATGTGTGTCCCGTATGCTGGTTATGTCGGTGATGGATTCATGTTAATGCATGATAATGCTCGTTGCCACACCGCGGCTATTGTACGGGATTATTTACAGGAGGTCGATATCCCTGTTATGCATTGGCCAGCACGAAGTCCAGACCTTAACCCAAAACATCTCTGGGATGACCTAAAACGGCGCGTGCGAGCTCGAGATCCAGCTCCAACCACTCTTCAAGAGCTCGAAGATGCGGTACTTGAAGAGTGGGAACAAGTACCCTAAGAGGCTGTTGCGACCCTTGTAAAGTCCATGAAAGATCGCATGGAAGCCGTTATCAAGGCAAGGGGGGATAACACTAGGTTTTAAGAACTTTTTTTGTATTTATTAAGTTTTTTTTAAATTATTAATTTGCAAATTTGTACATACCCTGTCTTTTTCTTTAATTTCTCTTTCGTCTCGTTATAAAAGTAAAATTCAATTAAAATTCCTGAAAGCTAATGAAATTACCTTTCGAATGATACCCTCAAACCACAACATTGCCATAGGCCTGTTGTGTTAAAATAGCATTTAAATTATTTTTTTCGGATGTGCGAACGCCACAACATCAGGTAAAAATTGCGATATAGTACACGAGGGCACTCTAAATTCGTATAATAATGAAGTCAAACTACAGGCTGGGCTAAAAATATTTGCAAATAGCAACACTAGATTCTTTTAAAAAACCGTTCGAGGGAGGGGCGCGCGGGTGGCGGGAAACTACGTCATTTCGTGCAATTTTAGTCAAGATGGAGCGCTTCACGGGACAACAGCGTGCTTTTTGTGTAAAACAATTTTACAAAAACAATGATTCCTACGTTACTGTACGACGCCTGTTTAGAATTAAATATGGATTACGCCGTATAAGTGAGTGTCCAAGTGTTAATTTGATCAAAGCTTGGGTCGAGAAGTTCGAGCAAACGGGATCAACAACGAATATTAAACAAACAGGGCGGCCACGTTCAAGAAGAAGTGATGAGAACATTCGAGATGTCGAAATATCCGTACGGAACGATCCAGAATCATCTACGCGTAAGCGTTCGGCGGCTCTGGCAATACCAAGAACTAGTCTACGGCGGATTTTGCATCTGGACCTCAAACTACACCCATATAAGCTTCAAATTGTACAGGAGATGAAACCAAATGATTACATTCAACGTAAGTTATTGGCTGACACTATGCTGGAGCGATTCTCTAGCCTTGAGAATGTATTGTTTACGGACGAGGCCCATTTTCACATCAATGTCGATATTGGAGCAGGGACAACCCTCGCCTTAAACACCAAAAGCCACTTCATTCACCTAAAACGACAGTATGGGCTGCCATATCAGTAAAGGGCATAATTGGTCCGTATTTCTTTGAAAATAATCAAGGAAATAATGTAACTGTGAATTCAATGGAATACGTCAAGATGTTGCAAGACTTTTTGACGCCGCAGTTGCATGGATTTCAAGGGTACAACAACAGGACCTGGATGCAACAATATGGAGCAACATGCCATACGTCAAATGTGAATTTACCGGTAGTCAAAGAAATGTTTCCGAACAAATTGATTTCTAGCAGAGGTGATATCCCTTGGCCTCCCAGAAGCCCGGACCTTACACCATGCGATTTTTTCTTGTGGGGATACCTGAAAAGTCGAGTGTACCTCAATAAACCGACGACAATATCCCAATTAAAACAAAACATTCACGAGGAGATAGCCGCGATCCCCCGCAGCATGTGTCAGCGAGTTTTCCAAAGTTTGCGTAGTCGATTTCAGGAGTGCCAACAACGAAACGGCGCACATTTGGACGACGTCATTTTTAAAAAATAAATTTCATTAAATGATTATTACGATAAATAAATTATCAACAAAATAACATTTGTAGTTTTATTTCTATTCATGTTTCAAAAGTGCAATAATTTTTTGCCCACCCTTTATTTCCTGTCGCAAGAAATCGTAAAGTAATCTTAAGTTTAAATTTTGCTGTCAGTGCTTCTCGAAATGTTGTATCCTGTTAGATATTTTGTATGACACTTTACTTAATAAAAAATCAAAATGATCTTCACTCATTCGAAAGTAGTTTGTATAGCTCTCGGGATTTTCATCTGCTAATTCAGAGATTAAACGTGTTGCACCCAAATGCTTTCTTCCTACCCATCCTCGAATCCACCAACGTCTTTCCTTTCGAGATAACCTTTTGTTTAATTTTATAAATTAACATCTGTATCATCTGTTGCATCGCAAAATGAAGCTTTGATGTTGACAGAGCCATGTCGTTGGTGATACTGTTGATTTCACGATACTATTATTTTTTGTGTAAGTAGTTTCATACGTGCTACAACTATTTTCATGAAACTCATTCCAACATGCATAACACTAGTTTCGTAATGTATATTCGACTTAACTAATGAAACTGATGAAATGGCTATACGACAGCAAAGTATATGGGATGGAAAACAAAATCATGGATTGAAGCTTCTGAAGCGTACATTTTTATGTTGGTTTCTCTTAATGAAAGTTGGAAAATACCACGAGGGTATTTTTTGATATACGGCTTAACAGGAACACGGAAAGCTAATTTAATCACAATTTGTTTGCCTAAGTGTCAAGAAGTATGTGTCAAGGTAGTATCATTAAACTTTGATGGTCACCCAACAATTTTATCAGCTATGAATTTATTGGGGTGTCAAATAAAAGTCACTGACAAATTGATTACGACATTTAAACGTCCATCTGCAAATAATAGAGTTGCTGTATTTTTAGACGCTTGCCATATGGTAAAACTAATAAGAAACGATTTTGAAGACAAAAAAACTTTTTTAGATCCAAATAAAAATTATATATTCACAAAATTTGACGTAGTGTACCTTCCTCTCAAAAATCCATGCTGCCTATCAGTTAGTATTGATTTCATGTGCCAATTTATAATTGGACAGATAATAGCCTCAAACACCTTTGGGAACACGGATAGTATTGATATGGGCCTGTATTTTGTTATATCGGTCTTATCTCCGCTTTTAAAAACAGGTACAACTCTAGCCTCCTTCCAAGCGCTTGGAAAAAAACCCTCTTTCAAGGAAGCATTATATATGATACATAAAGGGCGCGCTAGGGCTGCTGCACATTTCCTAGCAAAGAAAGGCGGTATATTGTCGGGACCAGTCAAGTTTCTTAAGCTTTGATTCTACTTCCTCTACACTTATATGTATATTAGATAAAGTTTGATTAATACCAACGCATTCAATGTTAGGAATCTCATTTTCTTTGCCTATAGAATAATCGGAGTATATACTTGAGAAATGTTTTGCAAAGCTATTACATACGTCTGTACCATTGGAAAAAATTTATGCATTTAATGTCATATAAGAAGGATATTCACTTTTGTTATTTCTAATCTCTTTTAAATATTACCAAAAATATTTTGGATTGCTAATTATATTTTATTCTACATTTTTAATGTAATTTTTATAGCATGAGTGTATTAAGGTTTCACATTTTTTACGCAGTAAGTTAAACGATATTTCATCAAGAGGGTTTTTATACTTATTATATAAGTTTCTGTTTTTCTTTTTTTCATTTAATCTTTTTATTAAGTGTTTTGAAAACCAACGCGGGTATTTACTAATTCCTCACTTATATTTCCTAATATGCCGACCTATAATCTCGTGGAGCTTACAATAAAAGACTTTTAGCATTTCATCAACATCATCACATGTAATGAAAATTTCATTCCAAGATATTTTTTCTATCTCCTCTATAATAACACTGTAATCCGCATTATAAAAATTCATTCTTTCGTTTATGTTTGTTCCTAGGTGTGAAACTGGAGTAAAATTTATACTGATTTCTAGGGGTGGGTGATGTCTGTCTATATGGCTCAAGGGATTTTATAATCAACGAAATGAAGGACTTTCTTTCATTTCGTTGATTATAAATGTACTTTCTTTATTACTTAATATTAGGTTAAGAGTTTTGTTAAAAGGATTTCGGACTTGATTAAACTGGTAAAGACGATTTTCAGCTATGAAATCTGTAAAATATTCGTTCATCTTGCCACTATTATTAATTATTATTACTAACAGGAATAAGATATTTTTGATTAGTTTGTTCAGTCCACATTATATTGAATAAATTAAATTCTCCTATTAATATTGTATTAGTTTGCTCAACTGATACACGGGAAACATTATCACAAAAGCTTTTAAGACACTCATAATTTAATGGTGACGGCAAGTAAACACTGCAAATCGATAGAGTAAAATTTGGGTTACCTGCTTTAAAATCAATGTTAATCCACATATCCTCGTAGTCGCTTTCCCATTTCATAACTCTATAACTTTTAAGCTTCTTTGTAACTGCAATAAGTACGCCACCACCGTCATGCTTGGTACGCAAAATAGAAGTTTCTCTGTCACGTCAAAAAACCACGTATCGTTTATCTATAACTTCGTTATTTAATATACTTTCACATAGCCATGTTTCAGTTAACACAATAATGTCAAATTCCAAATTTAAAATAGCACTATATACCTCCTTCAATCCTTCGTATAAACCACCTAGTCGGAAAACAATATGAGCCAGTTTGATATCATCGGCTTATTCCGCCTGCATGGAGAAATTAATGGAAGAAGTACAGCGAGAAGCTATGAGTGTATGCTTCACAACTATGGTTACATAGCAATAACCATAGATTACACTACATCAGGATTATATAGAATTCAAACTTGACCTTGACTTGACCGGAAAAGTAGTACTGGCAATAACGGACAATGCAAAAAATATCGTAAATTCCATTAATTTGATAGGGTGGAAGCATTTTGGATGCTATGCTCACACCTTAAATTTAGTTGTTGATGATGCATTAAAAATTGTTAGACTTTAGAAAAAATAAAAAATATAGTAGCCTATTCTAAGAGAAGTTCATCTGCAACAGATAGATTGAAAAGATATCAAGTTCAACAACAGATTAATATACCTAAAAAGCTCAAGCAATCTATACCTACTCGTCGGAATTCAACAATTTTCATGTTGCAGCGCTTTGTAGAGTTGGAAGAAGCAGTGCGGGCTACTTTGGCCCTGGTGCACAAGACCGTAGTCAGGGGGGATCAAGAGGGATTGATCCCCCCCGAAATAAAAAATTAATAGTACACAACATAATGGTTAATTCAAACAAAATTCTCTACCTACTGTTATTTTTATTATGTACTAGCTGTACCCCGCGACTTCGCCCGCGTGGAATTTACTACGATTTCATGGATCAATTTTTTTGCGCGGAACCCTAATTTTGTTTTTGAGTAATGTTACCATCTTATAAATATTGACAAATATTGACATTAATATTTATACGATACAAACGTCACTCAATTTTTTTGCCTTCCCGGAACCCCTCCACTAACACTTAAACTTTATGGTATGGTATTAAAGTTCAAATTGACTTTTAAGTATTATTACTAATTTTTTGTATGAGAATATAGAAAAGTGTTGTTTTTAGACTTTTTCAAGTAATTTTTTAAATTTTTCTCTCCGTAAGAACCATCTTCGTACTTCAAGGAATGTTATAAAAAAATAATTAGCAAAATCGGTTCAGCTGCTCTCGAGATTTGCGCTTAGCACCACATACAGCGATCCATTTTTATATTATAGATGACTTTATGCTCGCTTAGTATTCGCACGACGATACTTAAATAACGGCGCAGCGATATCTATTAGGGAGCGGCGAAACTACGTGCTACGCCAACTACACAAGCAACGCAACTTCGGGGACGTGCTCGAACTGCATTTCGGGAATATTCAATAAGCATAGAATGAGACGGGTTATTCTCGATGTTTCGTTGCGCCGCGTCTGCGGAATATATAAGCGAGCCGTCAAGCACGAAGAGGCAGTTCTGTCTTGGGAAGTGATCCAATGCTACTAAGGCGATATAAGCAAAGTAATAGTGCAGTGTGTGAAATAATAGTGTTGTGAATTAGTATTGAAGTAAGTGGTGTTATAATTTTTGTATTTAAAATTAAAAGGATTTGATGCCTAAGAGTAGACTACCTACTCGTATTAATTTTCTTTTAAATCTTTATCGAAATAAATATTTGTGTACTAATGGATTTAATACTTGGCTGTTTTTTTTTAATTGTTACAAGTCGGTTTAACATTTGAAATGGCAAAAAGGACGCAAGAAAATACATTATTTAAATATTTATTTAAAAAAATCTAAGCCTGGTACTGGTAGTGAAGGTTCTACTGAAAATCAGTGTTCAAATGTTTTCGACAGTCATACTGCTACAAGTAGTTCTGGTACTTATGCTGCCGTTCCTGGGACTATGGATGATGTTTCTCAGCATGTTTTAGATGTGGGCTATTATACGGAATCAAACACAAAAATTAATGATGATTTAAAATACAGATTGTTGAAATCTCCTTGCCAGAAAAGACATTTAAATTTCCAGTAAGTACCGATAAAAGAAAGCAAAAATTTCAAATGCAATAGTTTGAACGGTTCTCATGGTTGGTGTACACGAGTACAGGGCAACAAGGTGCTTTATGCAAATATTGTGTATTATTTGCCAGAGATTGCGCAGGTAAAAGCTCTCATCAGCAGTTGAAATCCTTAGTTCCTCAGCCGCACACTAAATGGAAAGATGCTGTACATGATTTCAAACATCACAGTGAAAGCCAGTTCCACAAATCTTCTGTATTATTGGCTGATAATTTTATGAAGGTGTATAATATCTCAACCACATATAATAAGTCAGATTGATAGCGGATACCTAGCGCAAATAGCTGAAAATCGGAAACGGCTCATTTCGATTATTGAAACAATTAAACTATGTGGACATCAGGAATTGGCACTGAGAGATACGTGCGACTCAGGTCCAATAAAATCAATGATGCTGAGCCAGAAACAAATGATGGAAACTTTCGTGCTATCTTACAGATGAGAAGCAGATGTTGAGACTCAAATCTAATAAATCACACAAAAAATATGACGTTGAACGTCGCTACCTACCTAAACCCGACCATAAAAAATGAAGTTATTGCAATTTGTGGTCAAATAATCCAGAAAAAAATTGTGCGAGGATTAAATTCTGCGAAATTTTTTTCAGTCCTTGTTGACGAAGTTACTCATGTTTCAAGACAAGAACAGATATCCATTTGCCTAAGATATGCCGAGCCAAAAGATAATGAGTTTATCTTGCATGAAGATTTTTTTAACTTTTGTAAGAGTTGAGAATACAAAAGGACGATATTTAGCTAATGCAATTTTATCTGAATTAAAATCTTTGGGAGTAGATTGCGAATATTTAGTCGAACAAGGGTATGATGGAGCTTCTTCGATGAAAGGAAGTTTTAAAGGTGTGCAGGCAGTAATTCGTGAGTCACAGCTAGAAACCTTATACGTTCATTGCAGCTCACATTCATTGAATTTAGCTCTGGGTCATTCTTGCCAGGTTCAGCCAATTCTAAATACTATTGGAAATATAAAATCCGTTGGAAATTTTATCAAAGTGTTTAAAAGATAATATCGAAAGAAACTTCCCTGAAATACAATAGAAAAACCTTACGGCAATGTGCGAGACCCGCTGGGTAGAAAATCATGACGGGTTGTTAAGATTTAAAAAAATTTATAAAGCTTGATACACTAGACGACTTAAGCACTGACATGGATTCTGAAACATCGTCAAAGGTTCTTTCCTGAGATCAGTCATTTCAAGTGATTTTGTTATAAGCTTATGTTGCTTAGGAATGTTGTTCCCGTACACACTGACACTGCAAAATACTTCAATCTCCCCTATGCGATTTGGCAGCAGCTTTACAAATTATAAAGACTATTGAAGATGATCGCCAAAATATTGATTCAAAATTTGCTGAACTTTTCAAGAATGCACAGAATTTGCTCTGTACTGTAAACGAGGAAATGAAAACTCCGCGAATGCACAGACTACTTAGTGAATACTATGCATCGGCTATGTAAGAAATCGATCATGGATGGTTTTGAATGGACTGGAATATGATAATTTTATTCATTATGGTTAATTTTATTATTTTTTTATAGGAGGGGGCAAACGAGCATGCGGATCACCTGATGGTAAGTGACTACCGCCGCCCATGAACAACTGCAACACCAGGGGAACCAGGGGAATTGCAGATGCGTTGCCGGCCTTTTAAAAAGGAGTAGGCTCTTTTCTTGAAGGTCCCTAAGTCTGATGGTAAAAGCTGATGGTAATCGATTCCACGTGAAATTTGGCGGCTGGGATTAACCGGTTCAGTGCGGATGGCACGCCAGGCGTGCCATCGATAATTTTGTGTGTGGCGTATGACACACGAGTCGTGTCTTTTTAAAAATCGTTATAACTCGCTCAAATTGCGTTTTTGGAAAATTTATCCAGAACAAAATATTCATTGTTTTGCAAGTAGTTCATGCCTGCGGCTTCGTTTCTGGATATTTTGAAAATTTGAAATTTTTAGGGGTTGACAAACTTTTTTTAACTTGTACATGGTACTCTTTTTACTTTGTAGGTTTTCAATCATGTTGTGGAAAAATAGTCTAATAAGTAACAAATAATAGCACTCATTGCGATCGCTCACAAACTCAAGTTGTAAATAAATTTCTGGAAAACAAGTCTCCTGTTAAACAAAAACAATGCGTTTGTCTTATTGTTTAATTTTGCTTAAAATAGTTAAACTGCCGTCATATGATAGTATATGGCCGAATAGACCTACGAAGTACCATGTGCTCTTGTGATATGGTATAAGGTTTATTTTTGCTTGAAATAGTTTGAAACCGTTCATGCATAAAAAAAGGTCGCTAATAAATAGTCTTTTGTCAATCCGCCGCCGTATAGCGCCGGCGTTTGTTTCCTTTTGAAAACACTTATTTTGCTATTCTTACTAATTAGACGTTTTCAAATCTTCTTTACTTTTACATTTTTATAGCATTAAATAATATTTAACATTTGTAAATATTAATAAATCTTAAACCTTATTTTTTTCCAAATTAAGGTTCTTGATTGTTTGATATTTACAAATATTATTATTAGGTGAAAATTTAATTTATTAAAAACCAAGGTTTTCCAGGGTGATTTAGCTGTACCTACTTATAAAATGATTTTTTTATAAAACAAAAAATAGTACAAAATGTTTGTAACCTCTGCATAAAAAAAAGTCACTTACTCTCAATTTCAAAGAAAACACGTAGTTTACCCACTAAAAACAAGTATCCTTCAGTTTGTAACCGATGTTTGATGTCAACTAAACTTAATTAGGCCTAAACAAGTGAAAAAAGCATAAAAAAGATAATTACTTTTACACATGGCTGATGGCACAATAGGCGTGTCATCAAGTTCTGTGGCGCGTCATGAAATATTTGTAGTCGACAATTGGTTGTCATGAAATATTAGTTGTCAAAAATTGGTGCCGCAACGAATCGGTTAATCCGAACAATTCCTCAGAGCACTCCCCGTGGTAAATGCGAAAGAAAATGCAAAGGGATGCAACATCTCTTCGCAGTGCCAATGAGTCGAGCCGATCTGAAAGGACTCGGTCGTCGACGATTCGAACCGCTCTGCGCTGGATGCGGTCAAGTGGAAGGAGCAGGCACTGAGATTGGAACAGTATTCCATGTGAGGCCGAACCTGCGCCTTGTAAAGTTGCAGGCGGTGTGCCAGCATGAAATACTGTCCCGCTCTGCTGAGCACGCCAAGCTTTTTAGAGGCCAATTTGGCCTTCTCTTCCAAGTGACCACGAAACTGCACGTCACTCGATATGTCGACTCCGAGGATTCCGATACTGGCTGAGGCAAGAAGGGGGGTGCCATGAAAATGAGGAGATTTGACAAAGGGGTTCTTTTTAGCGGTAAACGCGCAAACTTGTGTCTTATGAGGATTAAACTGGACTAGATTTAGTCATCCCCAATCCGAGACTGTTCAGCAAAGACTCGACTTAAGACACAAGTTTGTTCCGGTACTCGGCGCCGTTTTCCCGAGAAATATTGGCACGGCCGGTGTATAGAGCATCACCAGTGCTGTCATCCGCATAGCAATGAATGTTACCAGTTAGCAACATGTCATTGATATGCAGAAGAAACAGCGTTGGTGATAGAAATTATTAATTTCATAAATTTGCAATTTTTTTTAACTGTTTATTTTAACAGTTAAAAGGTATATTAACCATCTTTATTTAGATACTTCCGGCAGAGACGAATACAGTAATAGGAGCGGTACGGCAATTCTTCCTAGATGCGTAACCCAATAGTATATGGTTTAGAACGTAGAAGTACAGACCGCGGCCTGCGGGCCGCATGCGGCCCGCCGGTCGAATACTGGTGGCCCGCCGACAGCAAAAATAATAATCTCGTACATTCGAAAAATATTGAATTATATTCCAGAATAAAACCAAAAAAAAATATGTTCGAAAAGTAATTTGAATCTCGCGCGCGCGCACTTAAGTGCGCTTATCGGTGCGCCGTGCATGCGTCGGTAACAGCGGTCGGTAATGTTCGTGCTGATCTCGGTTAAATTCGTTTTCTTGAGGAACCGCCGCGGCCGGCGGCGCGGCGACGACGGCAGCGCGTTGGAGACTTATCCACGGGTTATATTGTTAGAGCAAGCGAGATAGCAATAGTCTCGAATTCCCGATTGCTCGCGTAGGTAGATACACGAAGCTTCCAGAGTCGGTTTCGTGATTTCTCCAGACAGTTTTCGACTCTATACGCGCGGTATAAAGGCCAGGTGACCGACAGTTCGGTTTTGAGTGAAGTGTCAGTAGTTCTAGTGTAGATTTTAACTCGACTAGCCGGTGTCATATATTTTGATCCACATTCAACGTAGATTTCCCGTCAAGTGCCGTGTATAATTGTGTTGTGAAATCGTAAGTAAAACTCTGTTATTAATAACTGTTTCCCTACCTATTTAATCAATTATTTTTGGTGATTTAAAAAAGGATGGGTAATTTAAGTAGGTACTGTAATTGTTTTTAGATACTGTGTTAATCCTAGCCAGGATTAGAACGCAACATGGACAAGCCAGGACCTAGTAAAAAACGTAAGGTTAAAGATGAAAATCGGCAGTTTCAAGAAATTTGGACTGAGAAATACTTTTTTGTATGGTCGCATAACAAAGTCGTTTGTTTAATTTGCAAGAATTCTGTTGCGATTGCAAAGGAATATAATGTAAAAAGGCACTATGAAACGCAGCATCCTACTTTTACCAAGTTTATAGGCGAATTAAGAAAGCAAAAAATGTTGTCTTTAAAACGGGAGCTTATTGGTCAGCAAGCTATGTTTACAAAACCCATTCAAGATTCAGAAACAGCTACAGAAGTTAGTTATGAAATTTCTCGAATGATAGCAAAGCGAAGTCGCCCCTTCAATGATGGGGATTTTGTAAAAGAATGCATAGAAATTGCCGCTAAGAAAATGTGTCAGCAAAAAAGTTTGAGAAAATTCAACTGAATCGTATGACTATCCAAAGATGAATTATGTCTTTGTCAAGTAATATTGCGGAACAATTAAATGAAAAAACTAAGACCATTGAATTTTTTTCATTAGCACTCGACGAATCCACTGATAATAGTTTCACAGCTCAACTTCTGATATTCATACGAGGTGTTACTCAAGATTTTGAAGTCTTAGAAGAGTTATTAGGAATGTGTTCATTGAAAGGTCAAACCAGAGGAGTTGATATACTCAATGTACTTTTGGATGAGTGTTCAAAAACTGATTTGGACTTATCAAAATTATCAGGAGTTGCGACTGACGGTGCTCCTTCGATGATTGGTGTCAATTCTGGGCTAGTTACTTTGCTGAAAAAGCATCTGCAAGAAAAAAACATAAATGCTGAAGATTTCATGCAGTTTCACTACATTATACACCAAGAAGCCCTCTGTTCTAAAAAAATTGAATTTCAAAATGTCATGAAAGTGGACTGTAAATTTCATAAAATCACGAGGACTCAATCACAGGCAATTCAAACAATTCCTTGATGACATCGAAAGCTAATATGGAGATTTACTGTATTATACAGAAGTAAGGTGGCTAAGTCGTGGATTGACACTGGAACGATTTCTAAATTTAATAGAAGAAATTGGAATATTTCTGGCGGAAAAGCAAAGGGATGTCCCGGAACTTAAAAATCCTGATTGCTTGTGTGATTTGGTTTTTTAGTTGATATTACAAATCATTTGAATGTCTTTAACACACGGCTTCAAGGCAAAAATCAACTGATATCCCAGCTCTACGCTCATGTATTATCTTTTCAATGCAAGCTGACACTTTTCAGATCGCAATTGAATTCTGGAAATTACAATCATTTTCCGAATTATAAGAAAATGGCTGAAAAATTCAACAAAACTGCGATTAATTTCAGTTATGTAGAAAAGCTAGATATTTTGATTCAATCTTTTCAAGACAGATTTTCGGAGTTTAAAAAGGTGAAACCTCTGTTGGACATATTCAGCAATCCTTTCACGATTTCAGTTTAAAATGCGCCAGAGTCAATGCAGTTACAAATTATCGACATTCAAAACGACCAAGATTTACGCAACAAATTCAACGAAGGAGACTTGCTGAACTTTTACCGCTGCATTGATAAAAATACGTACATAGAGTTGCGCATAAACGCTCTGAAATGTGCCAGCTTATTTGGTTCTACCTATATATGTGAACAAACCTTTTCAATACTAAATAATAATAAAACAAAAAATCGAAACCGCCTTGCAAATGAAAGTTTGGAAGCAGTTTTACGTGTTGCTACAAGTAAATTTGAGCCAAATATAAAAAAGATTGTAAGCACTATGCAGTGCCACGCTTCAAATTAATAAATTCTTTTTCAATTTTAATACATTATTATCAATTCTTTATTGTCTTTAATTACCTATACTTCTGGCGGCCCGCCATCAGTTCATAATTTGCCCGAGTGGCCCCTAGTCTTAACGAGTTGAATGTAAATTTAAGAAAAACAACTTCCTTCTGCGTGAATCCCATATTTCTGGTCCCTTTGACCTACAGGACCCAAATTCAAACTCGACCGAGCTACTACCTCAAGGTATCCACATACCAAATTTAAAGTCAATCGGTCCAGTGGAACGGAAGTTATCGTGTCGGCATACAGACTAACAGACTGCCAGCTAAAACCATTAACTTCCTTTCAATGCTACGCAGAAGGAAGTTAATAAGTCTGTGCATCACTGATTTTGAACATGATTATCATGACTTTACGAACTATTTTTATGGCATCGTAACGTACAAAGTTATTTCATTAACTTTAATCTTATTTGTAAGACTTCAAAGTTTAATTTATGTTGCCTAATAATGATACATTTCAAATCATACTGTTTTTTTAAAGTCTAAAATCGAGTGCATATCATAAGACCAGCACTACAGCGCTGGAGAAAATTTTAAAGGCACAGACTGACAATGTGCCAAATTGCGTGCCAAAGCGTTTGGTACAAGAAGTCCCCACACGCTAGAATTCCACGTTCCATATGATATAACGTTTTGTGGAATTGGAACAATATATAAGAGCCACAGTAGCGGTTTTAAAAAAGAACCTACCTATCATTTCTAATGAGGAATGGATATTTCTCAGTTAACTGTGCAAAATTTTGAAGCCTTTTCATGAGGCAACTCAATCAATAAGCGCTGAAAATTATATGATCAGTTATTGTTATAACTCGTTGTTTAGTCACGGCGTGTGACAAATTGGTAGCCGAAGACTTTTCGGAACTTTCACAGTCGTGCATTTTCAGTTTGCGGAGTATTCTCAACGAACTGGTTGGCCAGCAATATAATGTAGGTACTCCATTGTCAAAGGCTACAAAAGAACTGGATACCTACTTAAATGACGACATACTACCGGCACTTTCGAGATTGGAAAATTTAACTTCCCATTAAATTGGTGGCGAACGCATCGCTTCACATACCCCTACTTAACTAAGCTACTTCGAAGTTATGGAAATATTATGGCGTCATCAGTTCCTTGCGAACGTATCTTTAGTAAAACAGGGTTAATAATAAACGATCGCCGTACAAGCCTCTTGACTAACAAAGTCAGGCAACTTTCGTTCTTGAACGTAAATCTAGATCCGGAGCGGTTTAAATTGATATTTGATTAAAATAAATAAATAAATAATAACTCGTGAATTTATTACTAATGTGAAACTTCTTCATCTCTTTTCTAAAATAAAGTGGCCTATGTTACTCCTTATCCTATCCTATTACTCCTTATAATATCAGCTATCTGCCAGTGAGTCCCGTCAAAATCGACCCAGCCACTTCGGAGATTAGACGGAACAAACAGACAAAATATTTAAAATTAAATAGCTTTTTGTTAGAAGTACTTTCATAGTATGCATCAGTAAAAAGTTGTTATTTTGACAGTACAGAGTTGCAATCCAATATTCGAATATTCGAATTATTCGAATTATTCGAATTTTATTTTCAAATTTATATTCGAATAGTAAAAAAATATATATTCGAATATTCGAATAACTACAAAAAAATATACTATTCAAGTCTATGTTGGCAGAACTTAAAAATTGTTGTTGGCAACACTGCTTAACGGCTTGAGTGACTTGACGCCATTTTGTTGAGTTCATTCACTTACAGAACGCGTTGTTATATACTTGCAAAGCTGTGCATTTTGTCTTTTGTTAAGTGATTTGATTCTTGTGTTCTTGTAAGTATTGTGTATTTTGTTATTTTTTTGCAAACACGGTGGTTGAATTTATGACTTAACCTAAAAACTCACTTTGCACTGATCACCAAATACCTACGTTATATGTATTTACAAGTATCAAATTCAATTACATTGCAGATCAGTTGACGATGGATAAATTGGTTTTAAAGAGTACACAAAACGTAAGTTTGACAAATCTTCAGTATGGAACTCTTTCTTACGGACTGAGGATGGAAGTCACGCAAAATGCAAATTATGCAAAAGAATTCTTCAATGCTCAAATACCACCACATGCTTACACAATCACTTGAAGAAACAACATCCAAGTGTACCTGGTTAGTCACTCATTTAACTTACTTTTACGGCTTTTACCTTTATTAACTACTTCACTTTCACTTACATTTATTACTTTTGACCAAAAGGTATTAACGCTTTAAACGAACAATAAAAAAAAATCTTATGAGTAAAAACTCATAAGATTTTTTTTTATTGTTCGGTCTACTAGATGCAAGAAGAAATATTCGACAGATTCCAGCGACTGCTACGCCTACCACTCCCACAAATGAGGTAGTACAAGAACAAGATCAGCGGCCCATGCCCAAGACAAAAAAGTCAGAATTGACGATTACTATCAGAACACCAAAGAAGATAATATGGAAACTGTGATTTCCAAAATGACTGCGTGTGATGGTCAACCATTCAAAGTTTTTTGCAAATCAGAATCTATACGTATGCTTTTTTTAAAAAGTGGATACGAAGCTTTGCCAAAATCTCCGAACACAATTAAGAAGATTGTTATAGAAAAAAGTGACCAGTTAAAACAAGAACTGAGAAAAGAATTGTCGGTTTTAAAAGCAAAAGGACAGAAATTTTCCGTCTCTCTTGATGAGTGGACATCAGCTAGCAACCGGCGTTATGTGAATATTAACATTCACTGCCCTAATTTCAATGACAATGACAAGCCTTTCAGAAACTTGGGGTTGGCAAGAATTACAGGTAGAGGAACATCGGAAAGATGTAATCATATTTTGCGGGTTAAATTAGGGTCCTACGATCTATTTTTAGAAGATGACGTAGTAGGTGTAGTGACAGACGGTGCTAGCGTTATGACTGCCATGGGTCATCAAATACCTTCATTTCACCAATTATGCCTCGCACATGGAATTCAGTGTGCAGTGGTGGATGTCATATATAAGAACTTATATAGTCAGAGTGTAGAAACTGTCGAAAATTCAGAAGAAATAGACACAGAGGAGACATTATCTACATTAGTAGATTCAGAGGCAGAAGAATCAGAAGATGAAGAAACAGATGAAAATGACGATGGACAAGGTTTTGTAGTTAGTAATGCAGAAACCAGAAGTGAATCCAGGCTTAATGTCGATTATAAGGATTTGATTGTTAAAGTACGAAAGGTAGTGAAATTTTTCAAGAAGTCTCCAACTAGGACAGAAGTTTTAAATAAACATGTCCTTGAAGATAACAAAAGAGCGGGCCTGGTTTTAGATTGCAAAACGCGGTGGAGCAGCATGGCGGACATGGTTTCAAAATTTTTGCTTTTAAAGGATGCAATATTAAAGGCACTGATTGACTTGAAAGAAAAAACTATGTTCAGTACCTACGAGCTTGATCTTTTGCAGGATTTATCTACGACTCTCACTATCGTAAAAAGTACTGTAGAAGCTATTTGCCAAGAAAAGGCGAATTTATTAACTGCGGATACAGCCCTGCAATTCATGGTCACTAAACTACAAGAGAACAATGGGGTTATCAGTAGTAGACTCCTTCAGGCTTTAACATTAAGAATCGCTCAACGCCGACAAGCAGATCTGGTATGTACACTGAAGTATTTACACAATCCTAACAAATACTACCAGGAACAATCTTCTACTGTCTTCCCTAAAGTAGGAAATGATGTTATCACCAAAGTCATAGTTGACATACAAAAAAAATACTTTAATCAAAGACCTTCAACAATAACTTATACTGGCGCTTCTGATGACGAAGATGACATGTTTCTAGCAGATCTACAGCATTGTCAAAATGAAGAAGCGTCTAGAATCACAAATATGTCAATAAAAGAACAGCTGCAGAAAAAAATAGATGATGAAATGTGTGCAAGGCCTTCTACGTCCACAGCAACTTGCGAAGATGATCTAGAATCATCAATAAAAATGCAGATAGCTTTATATGATGCAGGAGCGCCAAGACAAATACACCTAACTCAGGCTTATGACGTGTTAATGTGCATTCCACCAACTAGTGTAGAGTGCGAAAGGGTATTTTCTTCTACGAAGTATATCTGCA